CTCTTTTGACAAAGCTTCCTTAGAGGAGGTGGCTGATGAGCTGATTTCATTTTCATCGAGATACTCCTCAAGATTGAAAGAGTAGCTCAGAGCTAGAAGATTGAGTGCCTATGTATAAGAAAATCTTGATTAGGAGTTTGGATCAGTTTATAACAAAATGAACAGTGAAGTGGATATAGTACCTTTCTGTGGTAGCCTCTGTCTGAAGAGGAGGAACAGCTGGTGATGCACCAATAATATCTGGTAGAATCGGCTCTAAGCTCTCAACATTGGTATCTGCAAATATCAAGGAAGATCTTTAGTTCATAATTATTGCAGAAGGGTAAAATGGATATATGATTTTCTTACCATCAGTTGTGTGCTGAACTGGGGAATCAACAATCTGGGTGTCGATAATAGCAGGATCATTTCAATAAGTAGACTATCAAACTCCTGCTCCTGTGTGGGTGTTCCCTCAGAGGGTATCTGACGTAATAAATAGTCAGATGAAGGGTGAAAACTGAATAAAAATCAAGAATTTAAAGAAAATACTGTGGCAGCATCATGGGGTGAAATGGAAGGACTTACATCTTCTGCTGTCTTGGAAGTATTGGTTATTTCAACTGAAATCGACTCCTTTTGAGGTTCGGCCGATGAAGGTTCAGTTGATGCTGACTTGAATGCCTGGGACAACAGTTCTGCATCCAGAGCCGATTGGGATACAATGGTTGATAATTGTGAAGAAAGAGGATCAGAAGTTGAATATCATTTTGAGGAAAAAACGAATTGTTTACCTGATCAGCTGATGGTCTCATTTTACAGAGTCTTTTCCCAGTAATAGTTTTCTGGGTTGTCCCTTGAGCTGCCTTGCGCTTTGAAGATTGATACGTTACGATTGCGAAGGCAGCGTGAGTTTTCATCAACTTCTTCAATGGAGCACAGCTGATCCTATTCTTGAAACTGGACATGGTGGCTGATAATTTATGGGGTGCCCTTTCCTATCCAAGCTTGGGGGATCAAACTCAATGTCCTGAAAAAGGTTTGTTAGAACAGTTGGCAAGGGAGGTCATCGAATAATTTTTCTAAAAAAAGAGAGAATAGTAAATTATCTCACTGTTAGAAGCAAACTCTCCATCTAGGACTATGCATCTTGGATGGGCCGATCCACAGAAGAGATGGGAGTGCTATTCTTGCCACCAGTAGTCAAAAAGGTTGGAAGAGAAGTTGAATCTTGCCCAGTCATGCAAGTAAAGAGAAGGGAGATCTGATCCCAGTTGAAAAATTCTTGAAGTTTCTATTACTTCACTGATACCTTCTCTTGCCTCAGTATATCCTTGAAGAACAGTTGAGGAGGCAATTGATCAAGACCAAACAGACGAGATACAAAAGAAGGGTTGTAAAACTCATAAGTTGGAAGGTTGCCTAGAAGGAAGGAGCCTGTAGCCATTTTGCCACGACCATGATGAAATTCGGCTGGAAGAACGTAGGGCTTGATGAAGGAATTAAAGATTGCAGCCACTGTCTCGTCCGAACAGCCTGATTCAAATCAAAATTTGAATGGGAAGATCAGCTCATTGTTCTCATCCTCATCATATGGTAGCCAAGTTAGGATATCTGCATCAAACCCTCTGTAAAACTTTTTGAAGAGATGGCCAACATCGATATTAATTGTTATGGCCGATGCAGCCTCACCATAGCTCATGCATTGATGGGTTTTTCCTTCTTCGCCTCTATATTCCTCATCAAAGTTGGAGGAAGGGAAACTCAAGTTTCTGAGATCAGGCCTTACAATCTTGTGCATATATAGGTTGAGCCATAGCTGTATCAACCACCAAGGGCCACTGATAGTATGCACTGGTTCATTCTTCAGTAATTGGGCAACTACCTGGTGTATCAGATGATAAACAGCTCCTAGCAGATACTTTCCAAGAGGGATATCCTTGCCTACTGCCAGATGCTCTGCCATGAGTTTGTGATTGTAAGTCGGACCACAAGATGACCCACGGAAGATGAATCTCTCTAACCACATGTTCAGAAAGGCAACATATTCTTTTTCGCTAACAGTTGATTCGTCTCCGATGTGGTTCAGAATGTAACTTGCCCATCCTGTGCAGTCTGATATCTTGGCTAATTTCTTGGATCCAGCACTTAAGAAGTCATAAGGCTGCATCGATTCTGTTATTCTGAGGCCGATCAACATATAAACATCGACCAAAGTGATGGTCATTGGGCCGTGACAAAAAACGAAGGCATTTAGGGTGTTGGACAAAAAATAAGATGCAGAGATCAGGAGCGGATAATTCCTCTCCATTCCAGACAACGAAAGTGTCAAGCATTGATTCAGATCATAAAGCTTCCAATCTCTACCCTTTTTCTCGGACACCCTATGAAACCAATTTCTCCATCCCAAAGGCATTTTGGGCCAGTTTCTGAAGGGAGTCTTGGTGTTCCAGGAAGACGAATCCACTACAGATTGTTTGAAGGGGATTTGGTTGGTTTCTTGACAGATAAAATCAGATGGATCAGGGTCACCCATAGGCCTAAGAAAATAGACATTGGGAGCACTAGCCGATGAAATCAAGATTTTGTTCCTCATTTCCTAGAAATCGGATAAAATAAAATTGAGGAACAGGGAAATGCAGAATAGCGGCTGAGACTTGGAGAATGGGAACTCGAAAGCATACCTCAGGGACATGGTCGCTGGTCACCATTGCAGCCAAAATGGATTTAAATATGAGGAAGATCGCTCGAATGAAAGCTTAATGAGGTAGAAAATTTGCTAGGGTTGAGGCTGTGGCGATAGCGGCGTCGGCTGTTAGGATTTGCTCAAGAAAGAAGGGGAAAGCAAACAGGCCGAGTGAGTTGGAAAAGATACTATTGGGATATTATATAAAACTCAGGCCGAGAAGTCAGGAGTCAGGCGTATATCTCAGAACGAAACGGCTGCGGCATGGTAAACAGATAAATAGGAATTTTAGAATAAAATCATATTTATCCAAAAATTGGGGGCATGTGTTTACACCAAAATTTAGGGATGAAGAACGCGGGAACTCGAAGCTTCCAAAATTGTGCCGATCAAGGAATCGATTGCATAAGGATCGATATCAGCTGATTCACATGCAACACTGGAATCAGCTCTCTTTGAATGACGTTAGCAGATAACAATAATGAGCTACGCTTGGTGTCGAGAAATACATATTGGACTCTACAAAAAGAGAAAGATTAGGGTCCAAGTTATCTTAAGATAGGAACATTTTCTTTTATACCAAAGATTGTAATGAGTCGTGCTCGAGTAGGATTCATGTTTAGGCTCCGGGTATAAATATTGGACCCCGACTATTGTAAAAAGAACATCTAATCAATCAAACACAATTTACCTTTTTTCAGCTCCGGCCAACCCTTAGGAGTAGGAGTAGAGTAGATCTCGGCGAGTTCTTCAGCAAGCAGGGCTGCATCGGTTCGGCCGACCTCCAGTTTGTCTGTAAGTACCGTCATGGCTTATACTTTGGTTTGTACGGCTGCATCCATCTGGTCGACCTCTATTGCGAACTCTAGTATAAATTAGTTATTGACTCTTATCTAGTTCAAGTACGACTGCATCGATCCGGTCGACCTCCACTGCTCAAACTAGATTAAGGTCAAGTGATCGGCTCTAAGGGTGGCGTACTTCGGGTAGATTCATTAAGTTACCGATCTTGCTGATGTTTTCATTGTTATTAGTTTGCAGGAACATCAATCTGCCCCGTCAAGATCGATTTAGATCGACCTTATATCCTTTCAGTCCGTCGTTCGCTTTATTACAACACGATGTTTCTTACTCTGAGCGACGGGTTACGTTTCATCGGCCGTTCTACTTCGATCTTGATCGTGCATAGTACGCGGTTAAGGCATGTATAATCTTGAATAGATTTGCTGGGTAGTTAAATCTAGTTTATAGTTCGCTATTATGGCTGTAATGATCCGGTCGATCCCCACTGATGGCACTGTAGATTGGAGGATGCTAGTTAGTAGATTTGTTCTTGATTAGGCGTGACCTTAGCTGTTTGCTATGTCTGCATCGGCTAAATAGCCGATCGCCTGTGCGTTAACGTCTACAGTGTGCGTCCATGATTCTGTTAAGCGTGAATAAATCTGTGTATTTTAAGGGTTTGATTCGTTGTCTTTTTCACGGCTGCATCGATCCGGTCGAACCCCACTGTTAGAGATAGTAGGTTATGTCTGATGAGTCCGTGGGTTTGTTCATGTGGAATAGTCGATTGTTCACACGCTGTAGTTCCTTTTCACCTGAATCGGTTATTTTCGCTGATTCGCCTGAGTCTTCACGTATAGCATGTCTTTCGGAAAGCCTGTCGAAGTATAGACGGTTCTACGGATTCTAAGGTTTTAGTTTATTATTATCTCATAGCTGCCATCGATCCGGTCGAATCTCACTGTTGATGGTAACATATTAGATTCAGAGCGTTTGTAGATCCATTTGTATTAGATAGTCGATTTGTTTGCATGCTATATCTTTGCCTGATTAGATTCATCGGCTCAACGATTCATACTGGTAATATCTACCTAGCTGATGATCTTATTTACGTCTACGGGCATTGTACTTATCAACATAAAACCAATCGCGATCCATAGGCTTTACTGTCCGTAACAGCCGATTTCTATGCGTATCGGCTATTTAGTCGATTTTCCTATCTGGCTGCTCCCGAAGCAGCACACTTGGAACTGTCTGGGCAAAGACCGGCATGTTTCACCTTAAATTACTGATAAGCTTTCTCTCCTTGTTAATTGCAGGGTCAAATTGGCTGGCACGTCTCGGGAGGAATTCGCAGGATCGGTTACCCCTGCGTTGAAGCCAAGCGGATCTCCAGTTCTATCAAGCAGATTCTTCCGGCTTGCCGTGTGTCGACACATTTTCGTGCCAACACATTTTCAATGCATCTGCTTGCTACATAGTGGATAAAAATGAATGTATGAGATGCATCCAAATCATATGCAATTGGAAAGGGAAAGGTGTGTCACCAAACCTTGTCATCAATAGGCACTCCACTTTGATTTCCGCACTCGATCTTGGAAAGACAACCAGCAAAGAGGTTAACATCGTGCTGTATACCAGACCAACGGTTCATTAGAGAGCCTTGGGTGCGATCAGATGAGAAATCCTTGTGGGCATCGAAATATGCATGTATCCGTTTCCAATATGTGGTATGTGGTTGGTCAACACCTTTCACTGGATCCAAACTCACGTTTGGCCACGCTTTTACAAGTTGTTCATCCTCTTCAACCGTGAATTTTTTTGTTCTTCTCTGATTTCGTTTCCCTATTGCTTGAACCTCATCCTGGGCTACTACTTCCTGAGCAGGAGCTGGATTTTCAGACTGACCAGCAAGACCAAGCCCTTTTGTAACCAGGTCAGTGAAATATCCCCCTGAATCCACGGCACCTGTGATATAGCAAATAACAAAGATTATTGAATTCATAAATTGGGAGTAGGAGTTAATGAGTTCCCAGGAACTAACACACTGATTCTAGAGGTAGGAGCTAATTGAATCCATGGCATCTAATCCTATACATGCCTAAAATAATTGACTGGACAAGCAGGCACTGCAGTCCGTCCAGCAATGCACCTGGACGCGTGCAGACCTGGAACAGCAATAATGTGCTCTTATAAGTACGACAGTAAATGGTGGGCTTCTGAATGTCATGTTCAGATAAGATCTACTATAAACTGAAGAAGAATGAGCAAAACTTGAAGAATCTTGTGACAAGAAAACCAAATCCCAGTTTTGCACTGCCCTGCTGAACAAATAGAGAAAGCATTCAGTCAACCCAAATATATCCTGAGAACAACATACGTAAACCTTTAAGGCCATTCTTTCAAACAAAAATGATGTTAATGGAGGCATCACATAATAACAGTTAAATGACTGAATTCATTTTCAAGGACTTACATATTGCAATGAAGAACTTAAATTAAATGACAGGCTACCAACATGACAAGCACAATGTCAAATCATATACATCCAACCATGGGATAAGGTTATGATTTCGAAAGCAACAACACAATCAACATATGAATTTATTAGAATCAGTAGACTGCCGATTTCCTAATTACACACGACTAACTAGTAGCCCTGACTTGGTGATTGTCCATCTTCAGCAAACTGGAAGCCAGGACATAAAATTATAGAACATCTCTGGCCGTAAGATGCACACTGAATTAAAATGTAATTTCCTAACACGACTCTTTCAACAATATTTCTAAGAAGCACAGTTCATAGCTGAAGATGCATGGCTTCCTACTTCCTAGAGACTAGCAGGTCATTCAGGTACATGCTGGTTTATATCTGAAGCACAGTTACCTGCTCCAATAATTCAGAAACAGCAAAAATAGCAACACCTGCGAAGGGGAAGGGGGAGGGAACCTCACCAGATAACTCGTCCACGACCTCGACCTCTGCTGCATCTGGGAAGGGGACCTGCGCCGGCTGGCCACCATCTTGCCAGAGGACTTGCGGCGGCTGGCCACCGGTGGGAGGAACCACCCGACGGCGCATCAATCGACCCCTCCGTTTTGCATCCAATCCAAATCCACCAAGTCCTCGCTACCACCGGAATCCTGGACGTGGGCGGGAAGGGGACGTGGGCATGGGGGCAGCGCGCGGGAATGGGGCAGTGCGCAGGAAGAGGATTGATGGCGAGCAGGGGAGGCTATTGAGAGAGAGAGAGAGCGAACACACTGCTAAGTTGATGTTTGAACGCAAGTTCATATTACATTGGGTATTATATTGGGGTGTCACATAGAAGTGTTTGATAGTAATAATAAAACAAATTACAGAAGTCTTCAGTAATCCACGAGACAAATTTATTAAGCCTAATTAATACGTCATTAGCACATGTTTACTATAGCACCATATTGTCCAATCATGGACTAATTAGGCTTAAAAAATTCGTCTCGTAAATTAGTCGCAATCTGTGCAATTAGTTATTTTTAGTTTATATTTAATACTCCATGCATATGTCCAAACATCCGATGTGATAGAAGGTAAACTTTAGGGGAAGAAACTAAACAATGCTTAAATTTAGAGAGTCATTTGTCTAATCTTTTGGAGATGTTTTTTCTTCTTCTAATACTATCTATATTTAGCTTTACAAAATGATTTAACTAATCTCTTGGATGCGTTAGATGTAAAATCCATGGTGAAAAACTTAAGTGGGTAAAAGGATTCAAGGTGAGAGATACATATTTTTTCAATTTATTTGCTCTTTTATAGTCTAGACTGACCTTTAAACAGAGAATTACCAATGTTTGCAAAAAAAAAGCACGCCACAAGCCATTTTTTACACCGTGTTTCCTACTATAGTCCAGTGTGCAAACTTTATTTTTTCATACACAAGATAGCTGACAAGCATGATGAATCCATTAGTGCAAAAGTTAAAGATATAAATTGGTTGTTGACTGCTATGTGCACTTATTTGACACATCACTTGCATTCAGTAAGAAAGCATATCAAGAGTTCAAGCCTGCACGGATTCGGGAGATAAGCTATTAAAGACAAAGATATATACTTTGGACCAAACATTTTAAGTATTTTACAAATTTTGCAAGAGATAGTGAGGACTCTGCCACAAATTCATATTGATATATTGTTTAAGAAATATATGGATAGATTGTTTATGAAAGTTTATTCATCAGCATATGCATGTCACACGTTTATGCCACTAATAATTTCATGCATAGGCAAAGGAAGGATAATTTCATGCATATATTGTATAAATCTCTAAGGCAGAAGTCATCTAGGTGACCACGCAATAAGTTATACGTTTATTGCAATGTATGGATCTGTTTGGTAGTTATAATACACTAGCAAGCATGCTAGTACGTTGCAATGGAACATAAAGTTTGTGTATATGTTCCAATACGTATTAGCATCAAACTCTATATCGTGGCTAAATGCATGCTATTCTAATTAGTATGAGCCTGGTCGTGAGTTCGAGTCATGGATGGGGCATTAAATTAATCATGACATATATATAGCTACTAATTCATCACGTACTACTTTTAGTAAAACTGGTCACAGCTGATGCTTGGGAAAGTGGAAGAATAGACAGGTTGTATGAGAGTGATGGACGAAAATTTGGAGGAGAGCTCGTGCATTGCACAAGACATACAACTTATTGCGTGGTCATTTAGACCTTCCCATACCAATTATGAGCTAGCTATATCTTTGTTTGATTTAATCTAACCTTATCTCATTAAATTAAATAAACTATAAAACCCACAATAAGTGCTAATCACAATATATGATTAATTCCCTATAAAAATTGATCGGAGATAACTCACGTTAAATATGTGGCTATTATTTACATCTGTTGTGAGGTTAAGAAAAGTGAAAAGAGTGCCACATACTAAGTGAGCAAAGTTGCGACACGTATGGGCTCGGCCAATCGGGTAATGACATGAGCGATGTTAGTGAAGGTTTTACAGCTCCAAATTGTAGACAACGCAGATAGTCTACCTCTATGGACCTCAGAGGAGTGGGCGCAAGTAACGGATGGATGAGAAAGTGAAGAACCAAGAGGGATAGAAATGAGTTATAGAAGGACATATGAGAGAGTGTGACAGACCGAGGGATGGAGGGAGCATTTTTTTTCGTAAGGTTAAATATTTAGTGTGGGGTCACTCCTAGCCTCTTGCCCTTAAATATTTAGTGTGGGGTCACTCCTAGCCTCTTGCCCTCGCTGAGGAGTACAGGGGGAGAGGCCGAGGGTTTCCCATAGGGAAGAGACCTAGTGGTCATGAAGGGACGAGCGAAGGAAAAGGTACAAGCGCCCCCTTTCTCTTTAGGCGATGAAAAAATGCCAATTAAATGCTCATTAATTTGTCCGGAAAGGCCACGAGCGCCCCGGGTATTTATAGGCCATACCCGAAGGCGTGATGGAATTACACTAGGGTTCGATCATGGGGGATGAGTTCTACACAATAGTCAAGGGCATGGCTGTAATCTCCTCCCCTTAGCTAATCACTCCCAGGCCCAATCGCCTTGATGGGGCCGCCCCCGCCGTCAGGATGGTCCCCTCCTGCAGTAGGCGTCAAGCCTTCGCATGCCCCCCGGCAAGGGTCCACCCGCTGTCATAATCCTGCCCTCTTCTCGCCGCGCTCCTCCGACATGGCTGACCTCCGAGCGCATCACCTGAACACATGGAAGAAACACAATGAACAAGAGACCCTCGTCGTGAGGGTTAACACCGGCAGCAGGGTGGGTTAGTTTGGCCAGCAGTGGGTCGAGGGCTAGGGGAGGAGTAGTGCTAGGGGGACCTCTCCCACAACAGTAGCCCCTCGAGGATCGGGCCCAGCGTGATGGGTTAGAGCAACATTATGATTTGGGGAAGGGGTAGGCGAAGGTACTTAGTCTGCAGCCCGGCCCAACGATGCCCCTTTTGTGCTCAACCAATGCTAGGCTTTTGTTGCTCTTGATGTCTTTGGGCCTTGATTGCGGTTTGTTCTGGCACGCGATTGTCAGGGGCTGTTTTCCCTCCCCTTTTTTCTCGAGATCTGTGGCACTCGTTTGGTTCCTGTTTACTCAGGATATGGGATGACCGCCTTCCTTTGGTATGGGTGCTGGGTGCCTATAAATAGCTGCGGTAGATTTAGGGTTTTTCATTGCTCCGTCTCTTGTTTGCTGGCTACTTGCTGCTACTGTGCTTGTTGAGCGAGGGTTACTTTTTGTGCGAGGGTTTGGGTTTTGCGGGCTTCTTCTACCGCTTCATTCTTGTTTGGGTATGTGTTGGTCATTTTTGCTTATAGTCCCCTTCATTTTTGTTTTTGCTAATGAGTTTGTTGACCGTTTTGTTTTGTAGTTCGATGGCTCGCGTGAGGAAGACCGCAAAGCCTGCTGATGGCTCGGAGCCCACTGATTCTGCCTCGGATGCTACTGTGAGCTTCGAGTTTGGCCTTTCAAGGGTTACCTCGAGTGATCTGGGTGAGTTCACGAAGGCGGGTTGGTTCACTCATGACCTTGCGAGGTCGTCAGAGGGAGAGGTTGTTCCTGATCCTCGTGATAATGGGGTTGTTGTTTACAAGGAGTTCTTTGTGGCTGGCTTGAGGTTTCTGCCGCACCCACTTGTTATTGTAGTTTTGAAGAAGTTCAACCTCAAGTTTCACCAGCTGAACCCCTCTAACTTTATGAAGCTTAGCATTTATGTTTGGGGTTCTAAGTCTTAAGGGGTTGAGCCAGACCTTGAAGGTTTCATACATCTTCACCGGGTCCATCCTCAGCCCCAAAAGATGACCATCGAGGGTAAGACTATTTTGGGGCAGTTTGGAGTCTATACCTTCATCTATCATCATGGTGTGGAAGTTCCTATTCAGGCTAAGAAGAACAAGTGGGCCTCGCCCTAGACTGAGAACTAGTTTTATATTAAGTTGGAGGGCGAGCCTGGTCTTTGTGGGAATCTGTCGAAGCTTGATAATGTGATTGCGGATGGTGTCATGACCGATGGTTACGCCGCTACTGTGGATGCACTTAGAATTTTGTCACGCCATCAAAATGCGTGCGACTTGGATGAAGAGTTTGTCTATGAAGGTGCTGCCTTTGAGGGACGACCAAGCATGGTTTGTGGTTAAGGATGATGAGATGTATCGGGAACATGGTCTTAAGGGGCTTGGCATGAATGTCAAGCAGGCTTGGTCGAAGGTGCTCTAGAGGAGCAACTCCTCAGCGGCCAAGGTTAAGACTGTGTACAAAAAGCTTGCCGAGGCTATTGAGGAGCTCATTGGGGCTCTTGGGAGCTTGGAGACTAAGGCAATAAGGATCATCCTAGCTGATCATCACTGTGTTAATCGAGCCTTTGATTTGCTTGGGTCGTCTTATCCTAATTGGCCCCACGTGGAGTTAAAGGAAGCCGAAGGTAGCAAGAAGAGGAAGAGGGTGGAGGCAGGCGGTAACCCTATTAGTGCATCCAAGCGGGGTGGGCGTGGTCGTGGGCATGTTAGAGGTTCTAAGGTTGAGAGGATTGCGATGGTCAAGGTGCCTGCCTCATCGGTTAGCTCACCATCCATGTCGGTGAAGCCAGAGTCCACGATTGTGCTGGCACCGCGGCCAAGCACAATTGGGGGTTCTCGTCCTGGTCAGAAGATGCCCAACATTGCTAGCCTGCCTATCTTGCAAGTGTCTTCTGATGATGAGGATGAGGAGGAAGATGAGAAGAAAGGGAGCGAAGGCCCTAGAGATCTCAAAGGGGATGGATCCAGCTCTTCTAGCAGTGGCAGTGGGTCCGATGCTAGCAAAGATGATGACATGGAGGAGGGTGACGTTGGTGGGAATGAAGATTTGAAGAATCCTCGCATCGTTGATTCTATGGAGCTTGGGTTGTAAGGTTGCGGGGCTGGAGAGGAACTAGAGATTGAATCTCACCCGGCTGATGCTAGATTGATGCCTCGTTGTTGCCGAGTGCATATTATGCGTGACGGACATGAGGTTGCTACTGATGACGACGAAGGTGGAGGGGGTTCTGGAAAGCATGCTCTTAGCGAGGCCATTCGTAGTGGCTTGAG